TCCCCGCCATCCAGGAACTGGACTCCTGAAATCCCCTAGTGCTCTTATCCAATGTGGGTCTTTCCTCACCTTGTCATGTCTCATCTTCTGAGGGCATCAAGATCTCCTTCTATGTAGGTCTTTAACTGAGGGAAGTCACAGCATGTTAGACCTACCCAGTCATTTTATAGATATGGAAATTGAGGCCCAGAGAAATGAATTTAGTTGCTCCAAGTGGTATAGTTAGAGAGGTAGGTTAAGAATCTATTCCACTCTTCTTCCCTTCAAAAGGGCAGGACACAGTGCCCTTATATTTGCAGATCACTCTACAAATTTGGGAGTGCTTTTGTACACATCTCATCTTCTCCTCACAACAACCCTGTGTAAACCCTGAGACTGGAGACCTGCTCAAGGTCATCAGGCTAAATAGGGGCCAATTCAGATCTCCTAAATCATGCTCTGGTAGTCTTTCCAAAACATAAACCTCTAAAAATATAGTAAAAATTTCTCATTACCATCTTACCTGAAGACCCAATTGTGAGCATCTATGGTCCCAATTCTGCCCTAAGACTGCCCACTATCTGTTAAAATACAGTGATCAGTAGGAATGAAGGGGATCTACTAGGATGGCATCAGAAGGTCTGGGTGTTTTTATGGACTCAACAGAAACCCTACTCAGAGGGGCAAAAAGAGGTAAGGAAGCTACACCTTTTCCTGGTCAATAATGCCATTATTCTAAAAGCATAAAAAAACATATCCCATAGATATAGGCTAAGGAAGTGAAAAGACAAAGCTCTGGCACACTCTTTAGCCCAGAGAGGTAGATCTCCTAGCCAGGGACAAAACAGAAAAACATGCCTTTTGCCCCTTGGAGGGAGGGGAGAAGAACCAGTCCCCACCAAGGTGAAACTGAAGTTCTCATTCATTCATTCATTCATCCATTCATCCATTCAGGGACCACTTGCCCTCTCAAATGCTCTGCTCTAGTTGCCAGGTAACAAGAGAAGAGTAGCTGTGCACCTGCAAACATCCAGACACGCATCCTGGGTCAGTGTCCATCCTCCACAGCCACCCTCTTTCTGGCACTTAGGTGCTCAACAAGGGGAGAAAGCAGCCATGTCCCAGAATAGAATGTAGGCTTTATTATGGGAATCTGAAGGACTACAAGCCAATCAGAGCAGGAGTTAAGGAGCTCCTCAAATGAAATGATAGGCAGTGGAAGGTGTAAACATCTTGGTAATAAAATTCCCACCTCCCCGACCCACGGGAATTTCATTCAAACAGTTTTCTTTCAGAGGAAGAGAACAAAACCGTTACCTGAATTTTCAAAAGAACAGAGTCTTTGTACAATGAAAAGAGCGCCCACCCACCCACCCACCCCCACACACCCAATTTTAATACAATAGCACTCAGGAAAGTTTGAGCAAGTGCATCAATATACACCAGTACCCCATTGTTACTGCTGCAAGGGATGAGCCAATGAGAGCCAACCAGAGGAAAGAGACCAATCTCAGCCCAGCCACTGAAACTTGGTAAGTTACCCATCTTCTGCCCTAAGGAAACCAGATCAGCGTGGGACAAGTTAACTATTCTACGCAGTTCGGTCACTCCTCTGGGCAACGGTCCAATTTTTCTTTCTCCCATCCTCTTGCCATGGCTGTCTCAAAGCGCACAGTTCAGACATTTGAAGGGGGAAAAAAATCCACTTTCTTTTCTCCAGTGAGTGGTTGAGATGATGGCCAGAACAAGTTCCAGAAATGCACAAGTCTCCACAATCTATTTTTCTCAACACATCAGGGTGCCATAGATGATCAGATACCTGGTGATATGATGCACGTTTCGCAGAAGTCTGAACACATACAGAGGGGTGCAGTTATCAGGAGGTAGGGAAACAGTCCTTCCACTTTTGACAGCTGGACTGGGGACTAAGAGAGGAAGCTCCCAACACTGCAGTAGGTACATTTGATTTCGGTTTAGTTTATCCTTTTAAAGGTGAATTCAAGTCAGCACAATAAAGACAGGTTCTGCTGTCAGAGCTCGGGCAAAGGCATTGACAGTTGCAGCAGGAGTTTGGAGGCCTCGGCTTCTTCTACTTTTGTCAGGACTGGGAAGGCAGCTTCGCCAGTGCACTGTCATATTCCACTGTCTAATGTCACAAAGGTTACAGAGGAGGGATTTTCAGCAGCAGCAGATATAGAGGTAGGTAGTTACAGATGCTTCAGCAAAAACTGAAAACTTTTCAATCCATCTATCAAAGTGCTTGCGAGACCAATGTGAAGAGCCGGTGACAATAGAACAAGGAAGATTAATCTGGATCCAAAAAAAATTTTTATTATTGTCTTAAAAAAAAATCAGTGCAGATCCACTGGCTCTCATCAACTCTTCCTTAAGTTTTGAGTGCAGCCGATGTTCCTTCTGCCTGAACACATAGAAAGGAGAAGGGAAGGAACAGGGCAGGTGAAGAAGGTAGATGAAAGGGTGGCAAATTTAGGCAAGGTAAAGAGGGGAGACTGGAGGACTGGCCACCTCTTCCACACGCTCTGGCTACTTGGGAGCTGCAATTACTGAACAGCACAAGCATGATAGTGGGGTGAGTCAAGTTAAGAATTAACTTGCCCGGCTTAAAAACAAAACCAAACAAAAAACCCCAGAAAAGTACATACAGCAAATGAATTTGCTTTGTTGGCCTGGCATGCAGGTTTCAGCATGAGCCACAAGGGGGCGCGCTCTCCAGCAAAACCACTCGTGGATCAGAGCTGCATTCCTCAGCACGGGCTGGGAATGAGCAGGGCCAATCCTTCCTCACTGCAGACCTGTTGCATTATTAATTAAAAGGCAGCAGTGGGGGAAGGGAGGAGAAGGGGGGGAAAAAAGGGGGTGATACCCTTCAAAGCATTACATGACAAATATCTGAAGCTCAGTCTGATGGGGACGTTCGTTAGGATCTGTGATGGTCCACGGCAGCGGGCAGGATCCGGGCCAGGAGGCAAGACAAAACGGGCCAGTATTAGGAATCTGCTGCTTATCACTAAGGAAGCTTGCCAGGTGGCCTCACCCTGCGGCTGCCACTTGTACTAGTGCATCACTGTTGTGTCAAGTGTCTTCTAGCTTCTTGGACCTTCGGCCAGCCGCTGTTATTGAACTCCTACATAAGCAGCCAATTGTTCTATTCAGCTGGCAAGCCTGGCTGTTTGGAGGTAGACTAGGATTCCCAGTATTGAATGCAGCTTGAGGGGATTTTCATTTTAGAAACTGAATATTTAAGACAATTTCCCCCTCCCCCAATCACTAGGATGTAAACGTAGGAGTCTCACAAAAATAGACAAACGCATTCCAGGCCTGGGCTCCAACAGGTAGGTACATGCATGCTACCTGGATCACAAGACACAAATCTTTTCAATTTCCTTGTTTAGCTTTACTGCCAACCTTCCGCTCTCCCTGAAAGCCATAGTCCTCCAACATAAGGGAAACTAGGTACATAGAGGCACATAACCTATTCGATGCAGTCCAGATCTAGACGCTCTGGCTTATATGATAGAACAGATTTGTAAATATTCAGTGGTGGGGGAAAGGGCAAAGCCAAATTGGTTCTTTGCTCTGTACTCTAAAGAGGCACAAGGTGAATAATATCTTTGTGCCTCATGGACTGCAAAGAGGTCTACGGCACCGCCTCCTGGGAAAGAAACACTGCGTGTTACATGTTACAGCCAGTGTCTAGACAGGCAAATGGACCACTCTGAAGAGTGAAAGGGCAGAGGGTGAAGACAAGAAATGCATTTGTGACAAAACAGAATTAAACCAGCTCACCAGCTGCTAAGCAGTGACAGGGTGGGGCTCGAGACTAGCAGGAGGAAAGAGGCCAATAAAACACAGCACAAACAAGGAAAATGCCTGGTTTGCTTAACAGCCTGGTATAATGTGGGAAGTTCAACAGAGGCAAGAGCTATTTGTCTGTACTGAACCCACCAGGCACCACCAGCAGCAGATGGCATATCCTCCAAGCCCAGGTTTCTAAAATACTGCTTATCTTGGGGAGGGTAGGGGGGCAGCGGGGAAGAGGGAGTGGAAGAGGAGGAGGGGAAGCAACAAAAATAGCAACTCTTAGAAATCAAGACTTGGTCACAAGTTTAAAAAGGAAAAGGAATCAAGACCACTTTTATAGCACAAACATGCCGATTCTTTCATCTTACTGATAATGGCATTTGTGAAATTCATCACCATAAAAAAAATGAAAGGAAAATAAGAAAACACCAATTTTTTTAGAAAACAAAACCAAAAAGAGGGCTCAGAGTAGGATCTGTGCTGATGTGCTGGCGAACAGTCCAGGGCTGGGTGACCTGGGGAGCAGCCATGCTTGGAAACTTATGTCGGTACCGAGGCTTCGGGTCCACAAGCTGGGTTCTCCTTTATGATTGTTGAAAAAACACAGCCTAATAGTTTCATACTGTATTTATTTAATAACTAAAATTCACAAATAAAAAGATACTTGTAAAGTCCTTTTTCTGTTGTGTTATCCCTGTCTCCTCCACTTTACTGCTTTCAGACCCATACGCACTAAAAAAAAAATGGGCTTGGATTTTTTTAAACCTTTTTTTCAAACTTATAACTGTTATATGATTGGTCAGTTGGAGCTGAAGCACCAATGGAGAAGATGCTTTATGGAGATGAGGGTATATCCCCGCCTTCCCACTTTTTTTTTTTAAAGGAACATTGGAGATGTACCAGTGTCAGGACTCCTCTGCTCCCATTTCCCCCACCCAGAACATTCCTTTTATTTTGTTTTCCTCTTTTAAGAGAATGCCTTTAGGCTCTTCCCCCTCCCCCCCTTTCTGTCCATTCAAGACCGTGTGGATGTCGGACACTGTTCATTTCTTCCTCCGACAGGCCCATGTCCGGTAATCAAGTAGGTCCTAGTACACAGCTCAGTACGTGTTGTTTGTTGTCGTACGGGCTTATTTTTTTCATTTCAGGTAGGTCTGAGTGTCATTTCAGAAGGCTTGCTTAATTCCTTTCACTTTTCTGGAGAGCTGCTGGATAAGGCTACTCATACTCCAGGAATTGTTTATGATAGAACAGTAAGTACCTAGGGAGGGAGAAAAGATGGTCATTTTTATCTACTGCTTCTTTAAAAACCAACAACCAAAAAGCACTTAAAAAGCCCCCAAGTTGTTCATTCTGAGAAAGAGCCATGATTCCAGAGATAGCTTTTGCTGACCCTGAGACAATCAAGTACAAAAATGTCCCTTGGTTTTAGCTTTTCAGTCACCCTCCTTATGTCCCTTTGTCTCAGATTCAGTCTTTAAAAAATATTTATTTTTAATATTCATTTAAAAGAAAATTGAATTCCAAATTCTCTCCCTTCTTCCCACCCACTGAGAAGACAAGCAATATAATATCAAAGATTTAGTCTTAAATGCCCTGTCCAGCAGCTAGATAGCCCTAAGTTTTTCTTATGTACCTATAAATATTAGCTAACCACTTTCTTTACACTTGAACTAGGTAGATGGAGGAAGAAAAGATTTAATGATGCTCATTTTTTTTCCACCCATATACAGAATCTACTTGGAATGTTAATTATAATAAAGAGCTGGGTGGGAGAAAGTCACTTTTTTTTTTTAAACTCAGGCTAACCACAAAAAGAGGAAATGGGAAAAATCATTCTAAAAGCCAAAGTACCTTTATGCATGCAAATGCGCCGACTTTTGTGTGATTATTCCATGCTTAAATCAAATGATTTTTTTCCAGCATTAATCAGAAAAAGGTAAGATTAGAGGTAGTTTTAAATAACTCATTCTTTAGGGAAAAAAAGTTAATGACATTTTTGAAATCACATAAAAATATACTGAAAAGTTTGCTTGATCCTTGAGTTTCCTATCACTTCCACAAATGTGGTAATGAAATATGCCCAGGATCACAAAAATAATGAAGCAAGATTTGAATGGAGGTCTTCTGGACTTTTCTGCTATACTGTTCTGCTACACTGAGGAGCTTAACACTGAGGCTAAAGACAGAGTAAAAAGAAAAGATGGTCAGGCATACTAGGTCACTGGACGCAAGGCCAAGGGATAACTGCTGTAGGGTTAGGATAGAACAGGTCCTGGTCCCCCAGATGCCTGTCTGAAAGTTGGTGTTTTCTGACTCTGACACTGTCGTCACAGCAAACAAAACACATTTCCTGAAACACCTCTTCATTCTACAATAAAACATTAAAGTGCCTTCACTAAGGCAACACTGGTGAGAGCGACCGCAGCCTGAGCAGGTGTCTTCTTTATCTGGTTCTTTCTATTGGCTCTTCTTTCCCCAGAGCTCGGCGTTGCTGACTGGTGCACAAAGTACGGTCCTAGCTATTCTGCTTGTGTAGTTTCAGTGCCTGCCGGCATACACATCCTTCCCAGAGCTACATCCCCACCCTCCTGTCAGTTCCACGTCCCTGACTTCCAGGAACCAGCAACATCTCCAACTTGAGCACCCACACTCTGTGCAGACCTCCATTATCTCTAGACGTATTCAGGACATCTCACTCCTTCCTCCCCCCTTACCCCCCCCCGTCCTGCCAAAACCTCAATATCATCAGACCTTATTCCCAATTTTCCCATCCCTTTCAACAAGTGGCACCAGATGCTCCCGCTTCTCTCATGACCCTGATTTTCTTTTATGCGTTTTCCTTTGTCCTCCCCATTCCATTACTACCTTTTTATCCCTCCTCAACAATTTGGCTACACAGGGCCTTTTCCCTTCTTGTCTCCTTTGACTCTACTCTGTTCAAGGGCCACACGTTACTTCATCCCTAAATGACAAAAGCCATCTTTGTCTAGCAGGTCTCCCTACCCTCCAGAATCCTCCTCAAATGCCATTTTTATCACACCACTCCTCTGACTCAAGAATCTACAATCAATTCAAACACTGTCTCACTAACAAACTCATTCTTCTGCAACCGCAGACTATTCCAGTCCAGCAAATCTGCTCAAGGACCAATTTTCATGACTTGCTCACTCATCTCACCTGGAAACCCTTCTCTCTCATTCTTTCCACTAATCTATGTTCTTTCCCTCCTTTAAAATCAAGTTACCATAAAACTTATTTCACTAAGAAAGCTTTCTATTGGCCTTGTGCCATCAAGTGTCCTTTTAGTACAGATGTACTCCGGAATTATGTTTCTGGACTCTAGGGAAGGCAGCACGGCGAGTGGGGAGAGAGTCATCCTCAAAGCCAGGAAGACGTGGTTTACATTCTGCCCTTTCCACATGCTGCTGAGGTGACCCATGTCACTCAGCCTCGGTGTCCATGGGGACTCTCTAAGACCTGCACTGGTAGAGGGAATGTCGTCTTCTAGGAGTACCCAATATTACATGAAAATAACAGGCCCATTCCTTATCCCTAACCCCTACGCTAATATGCTTTCATCTTTTCCCATGTACTTATATGTGCGTGTGTGTGTGTGTGTGTGTGTGTGTGTGTGTTACTTATCTTCAACTGGCTTTTATAAGCAAGACCATACTTCTTTCTTTTTGATCTCCCCTCTCAATCTCTAGAATACTTAATTTTATCTAATAAAATGAAATATAAAAGGTATAAATGTAAACTTCTATAATTGGGTAAAAAACAAACAAACGAACAAACTCTGCAAGCACAGGGTGCAGACCAGGCAGCAGTTCCTGGGAGACACTTTGTGTGGTTGTCTTCTAGGTTCAATTAAGAAGGTGACTCAGGAAGCCAACCAAAGCTCTGGTGTGCCGGCTGACGGGATCTCAGCAGGCAGCTTGGAAGCGCCACACCCACAGCAAGACGCCACACTGTTCTCCTCCCAGGTTAGCTACACCTGGGATGCCGGGCTCATTTCCCCATTTTGGGAAGCGCATGTGATAAGGAGGAGTACACCCTGCTCCCCCAAGCCACAAAAGGGCCGGGCAAAGAAGACAAGCCTGGCGGGAGGTGGAGGAAGAGGAACAGCACGACCACTCTCCTCCACTGACAGTCTATTAAAGGGAGGAAGTATGAAGATTTGCTTTGCTTGGACCCATGGGCAGAACTAGGCGCAAAGGACAAAAATCGCAGTAAAGGAGATTTTGGCTTTAACGTACGGAATGAATATACTTGTGAACTTCTGTATGAATAATAAGAGCTCTCCAAAACTGGATGGGCTCTGTCAAGAGGCAGCGAGGTATCCATCACTGTGGATGGATGCAGTTGGCTATTCCGAGCAGAAGCTGGAGGACAATTTGTCATGCACATGGTAGGGGGATTCTTAGGTTTGACTGGATGACCTTTAAGGGACAATCCCACCCTGGATGTTCTAGGACTCTCAAAGAAAATTCAGCACACAGTGGGTGGTTAATAGATGGTGACCGATTTGCCCACCTTCCCTTCCTCTCTAAAGGGCATCTTTGTTCCACGAAATAAAGGAAAGGCTTTTGAATAAAGGCTTTTCAGACTGAAATGAGAACATTTTTGGCCTTAAATTGAAAGGACATGGTCAGTCTTTCCAGGTCAATAACTTTAATTTGAATGAGATAAATGTGAAGAAACAAAACATGATGCACCATGCATCCCTGCCTGGGCCTTGTGTTTAAAATACCCACACCACCTTCAGGAGGGAGATTAGAAAGATTTTTGGACTAATGTAGCAAACCTAGTAGAAACCTGCTAGGGATATAGCACAAAGCAAATTGAGTATGAACATCTGCTCTAAGCAGTAATTAAAGCATGGAACCAACATCCAGCATGGCATTGATGATAAGCTCAGGATAATCATCTGAACCCAGTGCATCATTCAGTTAAAGTAGGATGGTTAAGATTATGTGAGTTAGTGAGCACTTGGGCTTCAGATACTGGGTCACTGGCCACAAAGGTCAGTCTGACAGGGGAGGGGCTTGCAAGGGAATCTTCGGATTTTATTCACAGTTCTGCTTTCAAACTGGTTTGATGCAGGTAGGTGGAGGGAGCCTTAGGACTATAAGCAAACATGAAAAATTTGGGATCCCCTGCATAGATCCAGACTATTAGAACCCAGAGATCATCCAGTCTGCTGCCATACATTTAAAGCTGAGGAAACTCAGACCCAAAGAGGTCAGATGATGTGCCAAGGTCACCATTAACACGGAGCTCTTCTTACAAGATCCCACCGTCTCCCTAAAGGTGAAACGGTGGGAGACGGTGAATCAGGTAACAGACTGGATCCAGTCTGTACTAAATGCATTTTCATTTGAAGAAATGAAAATAGATTCTGCCCGCAAGTACTTCTCAGGGTGTATTGTTTTATTTGATGGAGATCTCCCTTATCTGAGAAAAACTGCTTAAACCTGCAGCTAGACAGTGACTTCTGACCCACACTGTATTTGCTACCATGACTTAGGCAATCCATTTAAAGGTCTGTGTCTGGTATTTCAGTCATTTTCTGGAATCATGTCATATGAGATATTTCTTTTCTTGTCACCAGAGATATCTCAAGGGACATCCTCTCCAGACTGGATTTCATTAGTTTAGGAACCAAAAGCTAAACATTCTATGATCTGGATAAATGTGAAGTTGCTTTAGATCCAGAAGGACACAAGAGGAAAAAAAGGAACTATCACATCCTTTCTGCCATTTTCCCCAATGGCTCTGTCCTAGACATACCCTTCACTGTCTAGAACATCCTTAATGCTAGCCTTAGTGATGATGGCGTCATCACATTTGAACCACTGGTCCTTGTGTTGCCGAATGAAGCTGGTATAGTGCCCGCTCTCCAAGGTTCCCTGGTGATTAACTACTGCAAACAAGGAATACCTGGTTGGGGAAAAACAAAATGTGATTAACTCAGTTCCAGTATCAACAGAAACCCTACGATTTGGGGGGCAATTAAAGACCTGCGTTTATAAAGAAACCTGCTCATAAATGAGCTATCGCATGGTCCTATAAATATTGAAAACCACATGAATTACCAGTGGTAGGCAGAAAGCCACAGAGAAGCACTGCAAAGAAAAACAGACCACGCGTGGTGCCACTTACTTGTTGCCTATGGGCAGCTGTTTAGCTGTGTTTTGCATTCACATTAAAACAGGTGGCTTTACCTGCCTCAAGTGAAATATAAATGAATAGTAGTAATAGTATAACCTCTTTTTCTCAAGGGATTCAAAATGCTCCCTCATTCACTTTCACAATACCTACAGGAGGAAAAAGGGAGGCAAACAGTGAAACCTTAAGGAATTAGAATTCTAATCAGGTTAAAAATAAAATTAAAAATCTCCAATGACGGAGCCAAAAAGGGAATTCGGATTTCTCATTCACCTTCTCTTGCCTTCTACCTCCATCAAACTACAAGGAGGGATGCAGAACAGTGAGTTTAGAGCCAGGAGTGGCATTGAAATGTGGCCAAGTGGGAAGTCCCATCTCTACCAATGGCTTCAAACAATAAATGTTCATGGTCATTAGCAAGTCAATGGGTTACTGGCTGAAAGCAAAGCAACAGGTAAGAGAAGCTCAGAGAAGGACTGTGCTATTACAACACAGCCAGGAATTGACCTTAGCAGAGCTGAGAGCACCCACACCACCCTCCTCCCTCGAATGAAAACAGTGGACTTCATCACTTACTTATTATCGTTGTTCAGACTATCCGTTGGTTGCTGGTACTGTCCATTCATTCTGCTCTCTTTACTGTAATACAATACACAGAAGTTCAGTTTTACTTAATGTAACAACTTTCTAGACTGTACACATAGTGTCACAAGTTGGCTATTAGAGGCACAGTCTTCTGGGTGGGAGCTTGTCTCAGACCTGGGGCAGGTAAATGCTGCTCTGTGTATATAACAGTATGCATGTATATGTACATATAGTATTATCATGCTTCCTCTGCCACAAAGAGCATCTCTGGGAATAAGAGCAACTGTCAAATTCGAAGGGCATTAACAATTAAGTCTTGCATAGGAACCACTCCTCCAAAAGGAGTAAAGAGTCATGCTGAGTAAAGAATGTCAATCTTATTTATTTTACCACCAACGTACCTCCTGGGGGACAGTCAGGCAATTTGGGATTTAAAGCTTGAATGGGTTTAGTCCACTGCTGTGAAGTGCTAACAAAATTAAGATACTTGGTAACAGCAACCATGACATCCCCCCCTCCCCAAATGAATTAATGGTTCAATTGATCCACTTTTCCAGTCATGGGTTCTTTTGTTTTGAAGCAGGAAGACAATGCTGATTGTTTTATGGAAGGTCTCCATATTCAGAAGCCAGACAGAATGGACCATCAGATGCTGAAAGCTTACAAGTCAGACACACACCAATATTCCTAATTTAGAGCAGATGATGGTTAGCATCTTCTGGAGAATAAATCTCAAGTGGCCTTTGGGAAATGATGTGAAAAAAAAAACTGAAGTTGTAATATAAACTATATAAACTACTTCCAGAGTCTTCTAACTTTACATTTCTGGGCCAATTCCAATTCCATCATCTAAATGCATGAGTTAGGTACATGTGTGTGAGACCTTTCCCAAAATCCAGGGATAATGATCTAAGAAGAGTACTCAAGTATTTTGTTCTTCACCTGTCAAGCAAGGATTGTTATGAAGGGGTTTCACATCAGAGAACATTACTAGAGACATAGGAGTATCAGAAAAACCTCACACTTACACATTAGCCTTATTACACATGGATAAGCCTTATACCAAGGTCTAATCATGGCACAGTAGTGCCTCTGGGTTGTTGAGGGCTATGGACAGCAAGAGGGCTGAGAGATCAGACCCCAAGCTGGAAGTTCTAGTAAAGCCAGTAATGGATGGTGCCACCCACTGTCTGAGGCCAGAGAGGTTCTTCCCCAGAAGATCAGCCACCAGTAGCTGTGATCTGCATTGGTGGAGCCCCGCCTCCCCCAATGAAATAAGAGCTTTTAAAAAAGTGCCAAATTGGGGAAGCTAGGTGGCACAGTGAATAGAGCTCTGGCCTTGAAGTCAGGAGGACATGAGTTCAAATCCAGTCTCAAACACATGACACTTACTAGCTTGTGTGACCCTGGGCAAGTCACTTAACCCCAACTGCCTCACCAAAAAGCAAAATAAATAAATAATAAATAAATATAAAGCATCAAATTAAGGGCTATTCAGAGAAGTAAATACCAAGCAGCTGAAAACAGTATGAAAACCACATTTTTCCCCCTCTTTTTAAACAGACTTAAATTCTATCATCACTACATCAAGGTGGTCCTATTCTGTGTCATAGCTGTCACTCAAAAATGTATGATTCCTCTTAATTAGACTTACATTCAGAACAATGCCGTGGCCTAAGGAGAGTCTAGGATTTCTAAGTACTGTCATACCTGGAGGCCATAAATGGTGTCATGTCCAGCTCCAAAGGGAAGGAGACATACGTAGTGATCTTTCGCCTCAGTTTGGCTGAGTGTTCAAACCGCTACAGGAATAAAGGGGGAGGGACACAGACTTTTTCAGACAGCTTACAAAGTAAACTCCATAAAGATTATTAGGATGACAGCACTATAGATCAAATCACTTAAACTCACTGAGCCTCAGTTTCCCAATATGTAAAATGTGGCTAAACATTACTTAATAACTTACCTAGTAAGGTTTTGGTGAGGAAAGTGCATTGGAAACTGGAATGTAAATCTTGTACTTACTGTAGGAGTGTTTTTTTTCTTTTTATAACTGCTTATTGGTCAGGTTAGGAGACTGCTTATTTACTACTAAAAGACCCCTTCCCTTCCTTCTTCCAGTGCTATCTATGGCTCAGAATGATAGTTTCAAGGCAACAGAAACCCAGCTGACTAGGCAGGCAGAGCCGAGCAACAAAACTGGGAAACTTAAAATATGCAAGCAGATGGGAAGCCAAAACTGACAAATCTCTGGCAATGAGAAACAGCCATGTTACTTCTTTCGATAACCACATAGTTCAACCAAGGCAGGAAATTCCTCTGAAGTGATTTTACAGACAAGAGAAGGAAAATAAGGATTTTACAGGCGAATTGTGAACCTATAAATGGAGAACTGGAGGCAGAGCCTATATCCTAACGAATGAAAATCACACGAATGAAGGATAAGCGGAAGACAAATGTTCTCTTCAATGGAGCTTCTACTTAGAGAGGAACTGACAAAGTTTATGTCCTAGTCACATGTGTAGTTAATTATTCTTTGTTTGCACTGTCATAAAAATTCTCTCAGCAAAAGACATGAAAGTAATGAATCAAAGTTATCGCCTTTGGTTTCTATAGCAACCCTCACCTCACATGTTCATTCATTATTAAAATATACTCACAGTAATGGATCCTAGGAGAAAGGGGAAAATACAGCCCATGGCAAAAATGGGTCTGGTCAACATTTGTTTGGCAAACTTACTTTGAGATGAAAACAGGCCACGATGGGTAATTTCTTCATAGTGAGTTGTTTGGTGGATTCCTGGTAGCTATGGCAACCACTACATTTGATTTTGGCACTGCTTCCTAAGTGCTCTGGCCTCGTAAACCTGGAACGATTGGATGTGGGAACAAAACAAATTATTTGTTCCTACTTTTCAAGGGACAACTTAAATGTCACCTTCTCCATGAAAGTTTCCCTGATACCCTTAGCCGGAAACAACAGTCTACTTCTCTGCATTTATTGGTACTCTCCTAAAACACCTATCACACTGGCTTGTATTACAAGCATACTCAGTCCCACCTCCTATAAGGCTGCTATGAACATCACTTTGTATTTACATTGTTAATACATTCTAACCAGATCTCATTTACAACACCATTCAACACCTGAATAATGAAACTAACTACCCAATATCTCACTTAACATTGTATTTTTATGGAACACAATGGCAGGCAATTAAGGACATATGCCGACATGATTATTTGCATGCATGTTTCATCTCTTCTTTAGATTGAAAGCTTCTTGAGGGCTTGAAATTATGTCTTATTTACCTTTGCACCCTAGAATACCACTATAGTATACCTTACACAGAGCAGGCACTCCATAAATGTTTACTGAACTGAGTCAGTATATTATACAGGAAAAGCAGATAACATTTATTTCCTTCTTTCATTGCCTTCCATCCCTTTTCCTTAAAGCACAAGGGGGCTCAGAGAACAAATACTGAAACACATTTCCCTTCCTCAAGGTAGAATGGTGGGGAGCTATGGGTGCAGAATGTTGCAGACACTGTCTGAGGCAACCATTTTGTCCACTGGTTTTGCTTCACTGTTTTTCTTTGTTACAAGGTCGGGGTTCAGTGGGGCAGGGTGTATGGGGAAATGACTGTGGCATCAATAAACCTTAAAAAAATACAATGTATCTAGGAAAATGATAAACCACACTGTGATTTTTAAAATATGGTGAAGGACAATGCAGTCAACATATTGTATTAGCAACAATGGAAGAGTCGAGTTAGGAATAGGAAGTCTTCTCGTGTAGGCTCTTTGGCAGAGTTGCAGTGGGGGGTGTCCTTAAACCCTGCTCTACCATCCCGGTTTAAAACAGAAAACATGATTTTCCTGCATCTTAAGTCACATGCCAGTGGGTTACTGGCTGCTCTAATTCATTTGAACAATGGACCAGACTCTAGATCAGGCCCTCATTACTGTTCATCAAAGCCGTGGCCTCCTAACCGATCTCCTTATCGATCAATTGATAAACATTTACTAAGCATTCACTATGTGCCAGGCATTATGCTAAGTGTTGGAGACACAAAAAGAGGCAAAAGAGAGTCTTTGCCCTTAAAGAGCTCCCAATCTAATCGGAGAGACAAACAATTTAAGCAGGAGATAACTAACAGAGAAGGCACTAGACTTACAAGGGAAAGTTGGGAAAGGATTCCTGTCGAAAGCAGAATTTTAGGTTGGGCCTTCTCCAATCTATCCTTCACACGGCTGCCAAATATTCTTAATGCAAAGCTCTGATCTTGCCATGGTCTTACTCAAAAGCCTTTAGGGACTCTGCTACTAAATAAGACACAAGGTTAAAATGTGAACTCCTTAAGGCCTTCCATAGTCTGGGTCCAATGTACATTTTTTTCCACTGTGCTCCCTTTCACGAATACTGTATTTTAGGTAGATAAAAGACTACTTGTGAGCCATTTCCTAAACTCATTCCACTCTCTTCAAACTTTCTTGTACTACTTGGTTTGTATGTTTCCTTTGCCTGTATTAGAATCTAAACTTGTGACATAATTGTTATTTGTGTGTGTCTCTGTGAGAGTGTGCCTTATATACTGAGTAATTATAAACTCTTTGAGGTCAATGAGCTGCCATTTTTCATCTTTTTATCTCTAGTACCTACACAGGGCCTTGCACACAGCAGGTTCTAAGAGAGCTAAGTCACCTGGAATGCACAGACTTAGGCTGATGCTTTGTCATCTTCTAAACTTAATTTCATTTAAGGAAAAAGGTCTCAATGAAATAGAATAAATAGAGCAGAATCAGAATAATAAACACTGATGATAGCTGTAGATAACAATAACAAAACTGGGAAAAATATACAGATGAAAAAGTTCAGAAGGGGACATGGAAACAACCATACCATTTGTGTCTATATTATTAAAATTAATATATACTTATATAACATTAATCTGTATAAATAGTAAATAACGGACATTTGTGGTTTCATGTTATGATAGTACCTTTGAATTCTTTCCTCTACTAAATTTAAGAATAAGAATTTTTTTTTCTTTAAGGAAAAAGCTCTTGGAATAGAAAATCTGGGGTTCCAAAGTGTGCTAACCTTCATCTTGTATCAATAAATATTTCTCATAAGAGGATTTCTGAACAGTTTAATAGAAGATAGCCTATAAAGGAAGAGAAAACCCTTGAAATAAGTGCACTATAAATTGAACACCTACTTCACGGAATATTATCTTCCTGCTTCCTGAACCATAAAGAAAAAAAAGACCAAAATCATGAAGAAGCTTTCAAGTACCAGTAACCCTTCTACACATAAGTTCTGGGTTTCTGAAAACAAGACTTGGTGACTGAATAAGTCAGGCTCAGAGGATGGGTTTGGAATTAACCCCAAACTTAGACACACTTGCCACATTCCCATCATACCTACTCTACTAGCCATCTTCCTTGATCAGTCATTTAACCTTCTCATGATTCCATAAAACTATAATTTAATAATTTATATCAATGTAGTACAAATTACTCAGAGGTCAAAAGACTTGTAACAGCTTTTAAATGTGGAGTCTTTAATCTGAGCAGCTTTCTCATACCAATTTTCTTCCTATCAACTTTTGAAGTGCCTTAAGCCAATGCCTAGAGTGTGAGGTACGGCACGGCATAGGGAGTGGTCTGCTTTGCATGGGGAGTCTACACGGTACCCTAAATTGCAGCAGGTCCAGAAATACTATGGTTACACCGTGGCACAGAACTCCTTCTTAGTCTCTCCATTAGTTTCTTTGACAGGTCTGGAGCGAGTTGAAAAGCTCCCTTTTGCTTTTTAAGAGCATCTCATATAGTAATGTACCTCATGATTCCTCTGGAACCTAAATGTACATTCACACTATTCTTCACAAAATCAATGAAACCCTTCCTACAGATTTTCACTTGAGAGGTAGTTTCTCACTCATGTGGCCTCATTTTATCATCTGTCAGTCTCCCCTCCAATCCCTCTCAATCCATCCCCTCTCCAAAACATAAATATAACTGTATGAGGTTTTGCTCAGTACCCTAAATATATAACGAACGTCTTATCTTAATTCAGGTGTGTCCTATTGTAATTTAGCTTTCTTTGCATAGTACTTAGGACAGCACCCATGTACAATTAGATAATACTTGTTAAAGATAATGAAGCCCTTTGATTACTTTATCATGACTTAAAAAAATTAATGTTTTTCATATCCCATGGGACTGAGCATTAGGTCAAAGATCTAGATTTTCTCCATTAAAATAATATATTTGTCTTTTACACATTTTTATATATAGCTTTAACAATTTGAGATTGATGCATATTTGTTTCAAAAGTAAATTATTGGCTCTACTGATAATGAAGCAGGATGAAAAATAAAGGCTTTATTATATAATGCGCTTCACATATATGCATACATTGGGATAGATAGCTATTATATCTATAAACAGGGAGAAAAATCTCTACTAAGAATCTAACCTAAATCAACTAAAAGGGAAATTGGGTGGATTTTTTTTTTTTGGTTGTTCCTCATCGCATCAATTCAGTGCAAGTGTGACCATGTCTTTTTTTTGTTTGTTGTCTTTTTTTTTTTAGGCAACTGGGGTTAAGTGACTTGCCCAGGGTCACCTAGACAGTAAGTGTTAAGTGTCTGGTCTGAGGTTGCATTTGAACTCAGGTCCTCCTGACTTCAGGGTCGGTGCTCTATCCACTGCACCACCTAGATGTCCCAAGTGGGACCACATCAAGCCACTATCCAATAAACTCCAAGGGCTCCCTATCACTTTCAGGATTATATAAAATCTTCTGTTTGGCTTCTAAAGCCTCTCATAATCTGACCCCTTCCTACTTTCCCAGTCCTCTTATACCTGTCTTACCCCCAAATACTGTGCTAGGATTAAATGACACTGGCTTTCTTGCTCCTGGTACAAGACAGTCCATTTCCCTACTCTGGGCATTTTGATTGGCTGTCTGTCCCCCATGTCTGGAATTCTCTCCTTCCTCATCTCCCTCTCTTGGCTTCCTTCAGGAACCAGCTAAAATCTTACCTCCCACAAAAAGCCTTTCCTGATCCCTCTTAAAGCTAGTGTCTTCTCTCTTAAGATCATCTCCATTTTATCTTGCATATATCTTTTTTTGTATATAGTTGCCTGCCAATTGTCTCTGCCTCTACACCATGAGCTCCCTGAGAACAGGAAGAATTTTTTTGTCTTTAACAGTGACTGCTGAGATGTAGCATTTAATATATCTTAAATTAGTTACCAATGGAATAAATCTGTCAAACCCTTACTGTAATTTCAATTTGTCCATTTGTCTCATTGCCAATTTTACATTTTAAAGTGAATCTCCCTGTGAAACTATAAACTACAAGTCCTAGAAAAGACCAGACATTTCCCACTCATCTGCAAAATAATACTAAGGTAGAGGGTAGGTGGTAGTGGAGCCCCCTTAATGGGTCAAAGCTGAGTGACAACGAAAGAAGACTGTAATTTCGGAAGCCTGATTTAGTCTCTAGTTCTCTTTAGAGGTGGCCAGGGAAGGCTGCTTAAAAGTCAATGAAGGCAGTGGATTAGGTGATAAAGCAATGCTGCACTGCTGGGGTATACAGAGAATCCAGTCCCCTTCCTTTGGAACAGAGATACCAAATCTGCACAATCAGCTAGTGACAATCAAGCTCAGTCCCTATGAACAAATGTTCCATCATTCCTTTCCTGCTGGGTCAGTACTGGCCAGGGAAAGAGAACAATACAAGTAAGTCTTTCTTTAACCAGCCCCTTGTTTTTGACAGAGAAAAAGAAAACTTGTTTTAAGGGGGTGTTTCTAAAGCACAGATCCAGTTTCTTACCTTCGCAAGCAGTCTGTGAGTGTGGTGGTTCCGGATACATGGCTTTCCCCATTCACCACGCTGCCATCACTCCCTGGACTAAGTGGCCAGAACGGAGTTGAAGAACCAGGCAAGTCTAAACTGATGTCCCAGAATGGGTCTATCGTTGTAGAAACACCACTACAAGGCAAACACGAGAGCAGATGACAGAACACAAGGAAATTTAATCATTTACTAAGCTTATGAGCTGAGAAGATTATAGTTATGCTTCACCTCTAGAGGGTGCCCTTATTACACAAAGTATCTAGGACTAGACAGCTGGACTCAATACTATATTTATGTAGCCAATTTCCACTACAGGATTATTTTAAAATTCATAAAAAGGAAAGCCAGAGATCTGGAAAAATTTATTGCAGGTATTGAACACAGGATGTAAATCTTGTGCAGTCTACTGGTAATGGAATTCAGTGGTTTAGGACCAACTGGGGAGTTGTTCCAAAATGTGGGCTCTGGTTATGGTTGAGGCTGACATAGGCAGACACCTGTTTGTAGAATTACGTGCCTGCACAAGTAACTGGTAAAACAATGACCCGCAGCAAGACATTAAGGTCACCTAGAATAAAGGACTTCTATTGAACAGAAAGCTGAATTTTCAGCAGTCAAGAGGAAATGCTATTTCATGCTAAATACCATAGAATCAGAGGAATAGAATCTGAGGCCTGAAGACATCAAGTGACTCACTCAAGGTCACATGGATCACTAATGGTAGAGTTGGGACTAGAACCCAGGCTTCCTGAATTCTCGTGCAGTACTCTTCACAGACATGATAAAACTAGTAACTTGACATTTATATGGTGTTTCAAAGTCTTCAAAGTACTTCTCATTTGAACCTCATGATAACCATGTGATGTAGGCACTATGGATAATTTATTCACAGTTTACAGATGAAATTAAGACTGGGAGAGGCTCAAATGATTTGTTCATGGTCATGTAGTAACTATTAGAGGCAGGATTTGAACCTGGATCTGTCTTTCCAATTCCAAGCTTAGTATTCTATCCACTACATACCATTCCGTTGCTCTAAAAACAATACATATTTAAGGTCATCAACAATAGAGAATTTAATGGAATATGAAAGTATATTAATTTTTCACTAACATTTCCCCTTAAGGCAAGTTTTAAGATCTTTAACTGGAAGTTATGTGATCAAATGCCCATCCCACTAAAAAGTGGAGCACAAGAGATGACAAAACACATGAAAGTTTAATGTTCTACCCTAAGGGACAATGAGGAGTCTCCTCGTCTAGACTGGGGCCCTAAATAAGAGTGCACAGAGTCTAATGCTTTGCTCCTTTTTTATCATGCCTGTGGGCCTCTGTCTCTAATACGGATTTAGTGTCAAGAGGATCTGGGTTCATCTTTGTCACTTTCTTTGTGACCTTGGGTAAGTCAATGAGCCTTTCTAGGCCTCAATTTCCTCGAGTGTAAAACGAGGAAGCTGGACTACATAGTCCCTCAGGTAACCTTAGGGTGCTTTACTTTAATGCTCAATGGAAGAGGCTAGAGTGGTCTTTTCCAGTAATGTTGTGAAGAGGTATTGGAAGGCAGACCTGGAGCAATATGACGGTGAATAAAGGTGATCTCAGCTTGATGAGGAAAAACTACTTAACAATTAGAGCTGTTTAGAAAAGAAATAAGTGGCCCTCTAAAGTCAGTGAATTTCCCCATCAATGGAGTCTTCAAGTGAAGACTGGACCGCCCCTCGCCTACTGAAGAAGGGCATCCTGTTCTGGTGGAATGAGGACATCTTCCAATTCTGACTCTACGAGGCTGTGGGTAATTAAAGTCAATAAGCCTGTAATTCATGGCAGTCTGGTAAGCCTGCAGGATAGGCTCTTTTCATAGTATTTTAACTTTCTCTTCAGGTCATTCTCAGATGGGAACTGAAACTTCACTTGAAACAGGTCATCCTCCTTTCATACAGAGTTCTCATGTTGTCCTTGACTACTGACATCCATGAACTTTCCTGTCCTACCGCTTCAGTCACACATCTCTACCAGGAATACCACAACTGGGAAAAATCTCACACACCAAACCAAAGTCATCTTTATCAATATGAATAGAATGAAGTCCCCACCGCTTTTCATATACTCAACATGTATTTTAAGCTCTAAACTTAAAAGAATTATTTACCTTTTTTTTTTGGGTTGGGCAATACGGTTAAGTGACTTGCCTACAGTCACACAGCTAGTAAGTGTTATGTATCTGAGGCCAGATCAAAGAGTTAAGAAGGAGAATGTAAACTAAACAGGAGAATCTTGGGTGAAAGAGTGGGGATGTGCTGAAATTCTTTCCACATTTGACTCCGCTAATTTAAAAATCCTTTAACACCACAGCAATGCAATTCTTAAGGACTTGCTAGATTCCATTCCATTTAAAAAAGATCAAAATAATTTTTCTAAAAATTAATATAGTATATTTCTCTCACTGTATAAGATATTCTAAGCCTAAGTATCTTATTCACAGAATTTAGGTCCTTCAGTTTTCCTAATCTCAGCCTTCCATCACTAGAGAGTCTGGCTTAAAGCAACCACCATGACCAAATTCCAGGCCTTCTCATATTTCAAATAAAAATACATTCTGTGCACTTTACTCGGAAAACCCACCATGTTGTCAAGTCCTCTTACGGCCCTGTCCACTAAGGGGTGCCTTTTGGTCTTGGCTACTGTACTTAGGTAGTCATGCTCTAGTATCACAAAAAGATTTGAGGAAAATGGAAAAGTACTGAATCTAGCTTCAGAAAGAACATAGCTAAATGTGGAAATTACCAAATAAAGCCACGACAACATGAATTCTCTAGTTCCCACGGTGATGCCCAAGACCCTTACTGGTCCATTAAAAGGAAAGACTGATTACTTAGAAGGTGGGAATGAGATTCTATCTTGAGGAAGGGAGATGCTGGAGGAGAGGATGAGAAGGCAGGGAGTAAAACGAAGCCAGACTATTATCTAACAGAGGACTGGGGCAATGACCAATCAGCATGTCAGGTTCCAGGCCAGAGAGCCAGGGGGATATAGCGGTCAGGCCAGGGAATTTTGGCTTGTAAAGTCCTGAGAGATGACTAGGATGGCCATCCCATTTCCCAAAGCAAGGCAGGCGAGCAGACAAGAGGGAGGAGCACTTCTCCTCTAAAAGTCCAAACCCTGGATTAATGGGAAAAGGAACAAAGAGCCAGAGGGAAGGAGCAAGTCTCAGGTAAACTGGCTACAGTTCTTCAATTGGATGCTGAAGACCAAGAGATGCAGATTTTCAAAGAAGTATCTTCAACCAAAGGAACTTGGCTCATAAGGCCTCTTAAGTCTGGAGCAGGAGATGATTTTTCCCAAGACGTTTAGAACAAAGAGCTCTTTAGCACAATGAGCGAGTCCTTCCAGTTAGTTAATTCACTTAAAAGTCTGATTTTTCTTTGGACTCCCCTTCTTGGCCCATAGGTTCTTCTCTCAAAGCACCCAACCTGAGAGAGGCCTCAACTTCTGAGTTACAATCTGCCCTCAGATACCAGGCAATCACTTAACTGCTCTTTGCCTCAGCTTTCTCATCTGTAAATTAGAGATAATAATGGCACTCCCCCCCATTTGTTGTGAGGATCAAATAAGATAACTGTAAGATGCTTAGCAGTGTCTGACACATAGTAACCACTATATAAACGTTAGCTACTATGTTACCATCTACATCCAAGCCTCACAGTTCAGTCTCTTCAGCAAGAAGAGAACTTTAACAGATTAAAAATCCAAACTGCCAGTTACTAAATACCTACAATGTGCAATGCAACTATGCTAGAAACTTAAAGAGATTCAGAGAGCAACAATACTACATCTTTCCCTAACAGTCTAAGAATCCTTCCCTGTCTTTACCTATAGCTACAGCTAGGTGGTGCAGTGTATAGAGAGGTGAACTTGGAGTGAGGAAGACCTGAGTTTAAATCCAGCCTCAGACACCGACTAGCTGTGCAACCCTGGGCAAATCACTTAAACTCTCTGTGTCTCAGTTGCCTCATCTGTAAAACCTACCTCCCAGGGTTGGTGTAAGGATCAAACGAGTTAATATTTGAAAAGGGCTTTGCAAACCACTCCAAAGCACTCTATAGATGCTAGTTGTTATCATATATTTATTATTGTTATTGTTTGATCCAGCCCTAGTGTACCCTCTAAGTAGGTGTTTGTGTTTGTTTAAGCTAATTCAGTCAAGTGAGAAGCTTTTGCCTAGATAATTGCACGCCTGTGGCGAATTCAGCTCTGGAACCCAGTCAGATCTAGGACCCCAAAAGCACCAAAGTGTGAACCAGGCAAGTTAGCACCTTCTGGATGTGCTTAGAAAGGGCTTAGAGATGTACAAAAGGGACAGACTAATGAGATGAAGGGTCAGAGACTCAGACTTGGGAAATCACTTCTGGAGCTTCAGAACAGAAAGGAAACCACACTGATCTGAGGAAGTACAGAGACAGTCCCTGGATTAGTGACTCCAGAACCGCCAGGAAGACAAAAACAGAGAGAGGGCCAAGTTCAAGTTACACTTCAGGTATACCCACTCCTGTGAGCTCTAGAACCAAAACAGCAGAAGTCAGAGGCAAAAGCACAAACCAAAGCACGTGGCCAGGGCAGGATTACCTGAACATCTTGAGGAAGAGCCACCCTGCCATGTGTGCCCGGCCTGTACTTCAGCCACCCACTGACCACAGGCTGTGCCCACAGCTTTTGCCCCTTGTGCCTGCTCAGGAGCTGGTGAGAAGTTGGCCAGCCCTATCCTCGTCCTGAGTGCAGAAGAGCCTTCTAGACAAGAGACTCAGGCACCAAGCATCATCTGGAGAAGCGGATCAGGGCAGCCGGGAAACTGAGATCCTATTTACTGATGCTTAAGGAGGAAAGCATCACATGTGAGGAGCACAAAAGGAAAAGAAGATCTTCTGGGAAGAAGACCGATCCTTCTTCTGTGTATCTGGTGTCCAAACCCAGGAGCACCCTAGGCAGTCGGTATACCCCACAGAAGTGGCTGCAAAGGATTCCAGGGACAAGCTGCAGAAAAATGTGCCACTTCTCTGGAAAAAAGTGGAAGCAATTCAGAACATGCTGGCTGAAGACAGAAACAATATGAAGACTTGGAATGAACAGGGACAAGCTTGGAGAGAATGTTACAGCTCAACACAGAAGATTATACAAGTTTCTAAAGGAGGAAGAGCTACATCTTCAGAGAACAGATGAGGAAGACAGAGAAAACTTGAAGAATGAGACTTGCCAGGCTCCATCAATACCTTCAGAGCTTACAGGAGGAGATCATAGTCATTGAACAAAATTGCCAGCAACTAGACCTCCAGCTTCTGCGGGAGGTTAGAGAATCACTGTTGTGTCATCACCCAGAGACTGCTGTCATTTGTGAGGATGACCTGAGACCCCAATCACTGGGATATGGGAAATACTGAGTAACTTCAAAGTAGACATGAGCCTGGATCCTGAAAGCGCCTGTCCCCATCTCATCATGTCTGAGGATCTGAGGACAGTCACACTTGGAGGCTACCAGCAGAATATACCTGCCATACCCCACTGATTTAAAGCTAGTATCATTTTTGGGTCTCAAGTATTCACCTCTGATATGTGGGGAAGAGTACAGAATGGACAGTCAGTGTATATAAGGAGTTAGTGAGCTTTCTTTCCCTGGGATATATCTCTGCTTTCAAGTATTCAAAATGGAGATATTTACACTCAGATAACTACTCCCTCCTATCTACGATATGTCACTTTATCTGTAAGATAGAGATTTTTCTGGATTATGCCGCTGGAACCATTTTATTTTTTTACACTGTCTCAGACAAGTTCTTCAGATGTTGCTTCCTTCACTTTCCCAAACCTCTACAACCCCAGTTTTCTCCCTCTACCCTAAAAGGGGAGGAGAATGCAATTCCAATGATCATTATTAGTTCATGAAATTTTCATGTCTGAGTGAAGTTCTACTCCTGAACCTTTCTAAGGGTTACGGTTCCAGCAGAATAGAGTCCTGGCCTGCTCTGTATGCTATTCTTGATATATATGATGAGACAGCATTCCCACTGGGGAATAGCGAAGAAGTCAACATACATCTGCAGAAAATGTGGTCGGGAAGGTTGCTTCTGCATATCATTCATCAGGGCTGGATAAGTTCCCCAAACCCCTTGATGAGTAACTGCTGGGGTACTGACAGCTGTAGACTGTTGACACGGAAAAGTAGGGAGTGGGAGATGTAATCAGGGGCAGAGACTCACTTGGGAAATTAGGCATAAAAACCTTTGCTCTCCCTTCTGAAAGGTGTGCCCACACATGGGACACCCAGCCTTGCTGGGCCATGAATGCGAGGGTTTTTTTTTTTTTTTGTTTTTCCTGGTTCACCAATAGCTTCCTGGAACTTTTGTTGCTTACACATCCATTCTTGGAACCAAAACCAAGGGAGAGATAAGATTTTTCCTGAAGACTATTATTCTACCCAAAAATACTCATTGAGCCCTCAGTAGATTTATTATGTATCTAGCATAATTGTGGGTTCAAGTCCCAGCTCTGTCTATTGGCAGAATTACTTTAAGCAAAGCATTTAACTTCTTTGAGACAAAGTCTACTTATCTAGATATACTCCGTATCCCATTCATGCTTCAAATGTGTTCTACAATTAGGTATAAATATGTAAATAAATGTTCGTTTGTAAATTAATTTGTATATAAAAATGAATTGAGGATGTTTAACAAAGGTGCATGTTGGTGACTTTATATTAACTGCTGAAGATATGTATTGTGAGTTTGTCATAAATATTTATTAATCACAAAAATTACTACTATTATTACTAATATTTATTAGATCAAAATTAAAAGCCTTTTTTGTACCTTTTCCATTGGTTTACTTCACAAAACTAAAAAAAAAAATTCTCAAACATGTGGCTGTTTAAATAAAGCTTCCACTGTTTCCAATTTGGTAGCTGCTGCAGATGCTTCATGCTCAGAGCCACTTAGCCTTCTGTTTATAAATGACTAAGATAAGCAAAATTTAGGTAGTGTCTTAAAGCTTCAATCTCCAATACTAATCTTTTTTAAGAGGTTCTCTATGTGCTGTACTTTTATGGCAGGAAAAATACAAGGTTACTCCATAAACAACTATGACCTTGAAATCATTCTCATTTGAATGACAAAGAATTAAATACTTTTGCTCCAGTCTGGCTCTGACTGGAATGCTTTTTGATGCTGCAGGATCACCGGGAAGATGAGCTGCCTTCAGGCCCAGTGAGTGACTAAGAGCATAGTACTTACTGGCAGACTTGACAGGTGACGTCTGACTGCAGTCCGCCTGTAAAGATTTGGTCGATGATGCAGTTACAGTGGTTGGGGTTGTTGGCCTTCTTCCCATTATCGTCACCTTAACAGAAGTAAAACAAATTGGTTTATGAGTTCAAAGGGACTAAAGAATCAACAGTTCTTGTTTGGGGATCTATATACTATTTTCTCCATCAATGCATTCCACAGCTAAGAGCTGCAAACCTGAGATGAACATACACCCATCATGAAATAAAGTTGGCAACACAAACATTTTCAGAAAGACATTTATAGAATATTTCCTACTTTAATGAGGAGAAAAAGCAAATGGTTAAAATGGTTTAATTTCATGAGGAAGCATAAAGTCCAGTTTTTAGTTCGCTGCTTCTTATACCTCTAGGATTTCCTTTTTCTTAACACAAGTGCTAAGAAATTTGGAAGATGCAGCCATCTTGTTGGGAAGAGCCCTCAAAAGTCGTTGTTCAAAATTGGAACACTAACACATTGTTAGTGGAGTTGTGAACTGATCCAACGATTCTAGAGAGCAATTTGGAACTATGCCCAAAGGGCTATAAAAACATGCATACCCTTTGACCCAGCAATAGCACCTCTAGGGCTATATCTCAAAGAGATCATACAAATGGGAAAAGGACCCACATGTACAAAAATATTCATAGCAGCTCTTTTTGTGGTGGCAAAGAATTCGAAATTGAGAGGATGCCCATCCATTGGGGAATGGCTGAGCAAGCTTTGGTATATGAATGTAATGGAATACTATCATGCTATAAGAAATGATGAGCAGGCAGATTTCAGAAAAAGCTGGACTTACATGAACTGATGCTGAGTGAAGTGAGCAGAACCAGGAGAACATTGTACACAGTAATAACAACACGTGTGATGACCAACTTTGATAGACTTAGCTCTCTTCAGCAATATAACGATCTAAGACAACTCCAAAAGACTCATTATGGAAAATGCTATCTATATCCAGAGAAAGAACTATGGAGTCTGAATGCAGATCAAAGCATACTATTTGCTCCCTCTCTTTTTTTCTTTCTCGTGGTTTTTCCCTTTTGTTCTGATTCTTCTTTCACAACATGACTAATGTGGAAATATGTTTAATATGATTGTACAGGTATAGCCTATAACAGATTGCTCGCCGTCTTAAAGAGGGGAGAGGGAAGGAAGGGAGGGAGAAAAAAAAATGTGGAACTCAAAAATCTTATAAAAGTTGTTGACAACTATCTTTACAAGTAATTGGAAAAAAATAAAATATTATAAAGTGGAAAAACACAAAGTCCTTTTTCAAGAATGGAAGGGTTAAGTATTATTCCTCAGGGAAGAGCCAATTTGCCCAGGATGTCGCGGGACATTTTAGCTAAGAACAGGAATTTATATGACTCAATAAAAATAATCTTAATGATTTCAGGACAAGTTTCAACCAGGTGAAGAGGCTATTACCCCAAACTAGCCAACAATTCTAAGATCCTTCAGACAACTGTAAGTAGGGATAAGGACTGACTGAACTTGTGATTTCATTGATATAGGGAACTCTCATATAAAGAAATTTCCTGTACCAATGCAGGTTTGTCATTTATAGTCTTAAGGACGTTGCCTAGAGTACTGAGAAGTTAAGTGACCTATCCAGGGTCACACAGCCAGTGTGTATAAGTCAAAGGTGGGAAATGGAACTCAGATCTTCTTGGCTCCAAGGCCAACTGTCTACCTATTATGCCAATTAGCAGGCTAGGCCTTCCCCGCCTCCCACCCCAACCAGAATGGTACCAAATATGGCCTTTCAGTTTCTCTACACTCAGCACAAATTGGAGAATGACAGACGGATACATATAAGCATAGGCATCAAATTTACAGTGCCTGGCACATAGCAACAGCTTATTAATACTTGTTGACTGCCTGCCTGCCTACTAGGTTATAAAGGCTAATTTGGATCATAGGCAGCATTTGCCCATTGATTTTAACACTAGAAGAAAATTCTAACAAGTTTTTATAATACAGTAAGCTCTTCTATAGCATGTGCTTCAAAAAATACAACAAATCTGTTCCATTTTGAGCATCATGCAAATTTCAATTTTGCTTCTACACAATTTCTTCTTTGAGAAACCAGTGAGAATGTAGAAAATGTCTTTCCTTCGTAACTAACAAACTACAGCTGTTCTGAGGCCCATATCCACAAGCAAACTTGAGGGCTCTACCACAGTAAAGTGTGTCCCCTCCAGAGCCCCTGCCTGTCATGGCCTCTGGGGGCCACTGCTTATTATAGTTATATATTTGTGAACCATTTAATGTGCATCAAACTGTGCTGTTTTTATTAGGTTCCTATCTTTTTTTAATGTGTTACCAACGAGGTTTTTGGTAATGCAAACAAATTAAGTTAAACTATAGAAGAAGTGACTGTATAGAATACATTTAACTGAACTTGAGGGAGAAGAAGCTTCACAAGCAGAAACTTAATGAAAAAGAGTCAGAAGAACATTGGAAAAATATTTCAACATACACTAAACAAAAATATTACATGCCTAAGTAATGTTTTGGAGCTAGCAAAGTGATCTTGGTGTTACACTGGCAGACTTTTATCCTATTGTCAGTTAGGACAATAAGGTGTAGATGACCATCTTCTAAATAAATGTAGGAATCTCACATTTATTTCCACAACTAACTCAGGGATGTGCTAACAATGATTCCCTCATTTCTTGCAATACTTCCATTTTCTTAGAAATGCACTTTTGAGAAACTGATTTTAGAATATGTTTTTGATGGTTACAGGCGATAATACCATAGTTAAGTTTTCATCACCATTCTCATTAAGTACTGGAAATGGTAATTAAAAAATAATAACCCTTCCATTTAAAAGGACCCCAAAGCACTTTACAAATTGACACATTTTCAAAAAGTGATAACTTTATCCACCTCCAGACATATGCTTCATGTTCATAGTAAGAAATTAAATACTGCCTAAGTTACTATCTCCTTTTAGTTCAATTTCTAGTGCAGATGTTTAAAGGATCAAGTTATATACTTTCATTACAGAAATTTCCTTTTAAAAAGTAAGACCCCTCCCCCCAAAAAAAGTTTATGACAGATGCAATCTAATATCAAATTTGGGTAGCTCAAGTCACTATTAATTGCTTCTAGAAGTATCTGTAATGTTAGTTCAAAGATCTATGCATACAAAGGTTGAAAACAAGTAACTCAGAAAAAGGCTGGTTTGAAGCCTGGCACTTCAAAAATAACCATTTTTATGGGGAATAAGTTAATAGAGAGGGCTGGCAAAAAAAAATCTTATTCCCTGCAGTTCAATACATTTATGTAGACCTTCAGGTATCTCATATTGGGCCCCATAATCAGGGCCAAGAGAAAAAAAAATCAAAATCTGTTCATGGTATTTGGGACTTGAATGTTTCCTTAAATTTCTTAATTAAGCTAAACTTTAAAACTACTCAAGCTCACATAATCAGATTACTTTAAACACATAGGTGACTCATGATCCAGCTACTTTCTAAGGTTATAGTTTTAGAACCATCTTATAGGTATAGTAACCTAATCTTCCCAGTACTTCATAACTATATTCCCTTGGACGAAGTCCAAAATATTTGCTTTACTCCAAATTCCCTTCTACAGTGAAAGGTATTAAAGAAGGTTTTTGAGTATAAGCAGTTTTCCATTACTTATTTTTCTGGCAACCTCAGTAAGCAGCCACATACCACAACAGCCAAGGCAGGCTCTTAGTATTTTGTTTGGTACACATTCAAATGCTTTGTTAAAGTCTTTCACAATTCACAAATTCCCAGATAGATTACACACTACTAACTCTTATAAGCCTGATTACAGTGTAAAATGTTTCACAAGCTGCGAAAGCAACGTCCATGTAGATTTCCAATAGATGATGTATAATGATGATACCCACCCCTGGATAGAAGGTAAACTCCTTGAGGGCAGGGGTGATTTAATTTTTATCTTATATATACAGGCCTAGCACAGCCTACAGCATTTAGCAGACACTTGATAGATTCTTGATTAATAAATAGTTTTAACGATCATCAGTGACCAATACTCCTGGCTTTGTTGCTAGAATGTAGTCATACTTAGCCAATTCCATCAAACTTTGAAATTTGCTAAGAAAATTGTGCCCTACCCCCCACTCTCTAAAAAATACACATCCAATTATTTCACCTTTTGCTTCCCTCACTCGACAGAAAAATAAAAAAGATTAAGGAAAAATATCACTGGGAAACAAGTAATAGTCAAATTTCTCTTTCTCTGTCATTTGTGACTTACTTCCGAGGTGGTGTGTGTTGAGGGGAAACCATATATACAGTATTTAGAATTAGCCTGTATCTGTATAGTAGAGAAAGGTATATACTTAAATAAAACATATATATTGGATCAGATGAGAGGGTAACTGAACATGCTGACTCAGCAAAGTGAAACATTTTAATGAGCATTCATGTTCTTCATGTCTAAAATAATTTCAGCTGCATTTAAGTATTAATAAGGTAGGGCAATACAACCGGTTTAAAAAAATCTAACACAATCTTATAATAGTGTTGACATCACAAAAGTGACGGTCCTATTATAATCAGTCACATCTGACTCTTCATGAGCCCATTTGGGGTTTTCTTCGCAGATACTGGAGTAGTTTGCCATTTCCTTCTCCAGTTCATTTTACAGATGAAGAAACTGAGGCACACTGGGTTAAGTGACCTGCCCAGTAAGCAATTGTCCAAGGTCAGATTTGAACTCAGGAAGATGAGTTTTCATGACTCCAGGCCTGGCACTCTATCTACTGGGCCACCTAGCTGGCCTGCTCTATTATATACCAGACTCCATTTGGAATAATTTGCTTAATTTTGGGAGCTAAGTTTTAACAAAGGCCTGGTAAAGGACAGTGCTTCTAGAACAGGTTGAAAAAAGACAGTAAAAGGTATGTAAAATTCCAATAAGAAAAGGAGGAGGCAGCATATTAGTAGAGAAAAAGCAGTACACAGGAATCAGGAGACTGGGCTTCTGCTCCTGGGTATGCTAGTCAGACAAATGGTTTTTCATTTCTAGGACTCTCTTCTCAGCTGTGAAATGAAAGGATCA